GAGAACAGCAACAATTTGAAGCCTCTAATAATGTATAGGAAATTTTTTTTTTTCCCCACGTGTTCTTATTATCTTCCAACTTTGACAACCAAAACGTACAGGAAAAGTGCTGCATTTTCTAAACAAATTTTGAATAAATGTTCTTCCAAAAGTCAGTCCCCGAAAGTTCTCTCAAAACTGTTTCCCATGGGAAAAGAAGTTTATGACAATTGGTTTTGCACAGGAAAAAAAATCATGTTAGAACTTTTGACTGCAAAGGCATTCAGGTGGCTGTTGCAGGATTGCTGCAGGCGGACGGGCAGTGTGGCCTCCTGTACCTGACTTGCGGGGAAAAATCTTCCCTTCTCTTTCTAGGAATTGCTTTTAACAAGGCAAAAAGAAACAGGGCTTAATGTTGAGACTTTTCAGTGTGTTCCTGTGTGTTCTCTCAGCCTGAAGAATCCTGGTTTGTTCCTATTGTGCTGTAGTTCCCCCTTTTCCTCTTAAAAAAGCAAAGGTTCTTTGTCTGCTCTGCGGCTACGTGTGAGCACTGCCCTGCAGCTCCCCTATGAACGCCCTTCCTGGCATCGCTTGGAGTGCAGCAGTTCAGCGCCTGGCGTCAGAGCATCCGCGCCGCCGGGCACCGCCGCAGCGGGACCCGCAGCTGACCCCGCGCAGCTGCTCGCGTATGAAGTGGGTGCTGGCTGGAGACACTACCCTTACAAACTGGTGTCCTCCACTGACTTATAGCTGCAAACCAAGTTTTCCGTGGTGAAATAGTCTAAAAGGCTCACCAGTTCCACTTCGTCAGGAGCAACTGGTACTGAGGATGATACAGTCAGTTATCAGACGGCAAATCTCATTTTAACTTGCTATTTTGTAAGGTTTTCCATGCATTTTTATGATGTGTTTTTCCTTGCCATTACTTAAGTTTTTATGGTCTATTTGGTATTACAGAGCTATACTCTACATATTCTCACCTTCTCAGGAGATAAAATAATTCTGTTGCTTTTAATTAAATACTAACACTTCTGCCAATTCTTCATGATTTAATGCATCTAATACCATTAACATATGATTAACCTAGGTCAACATATCCTTGAAAGAGAAAATCTGAGTCTTAAATACAATAATTTTTGCTTTCAAATCACACCTTGCTGTTTTAACATACTAATGATCACAAAAATGTGGATACAAATAAAAATTGAATACCTTACCCTTCCTGTCTCACAATATTTCCAAAACATTTAAGAGAGCCATGTATCTATTCATTTTTCTGCTCTAGATCCCACAGGATTAATGGTAAAGAAAATGAATCATGAAAGGATGGGGCTGTCAGAATGAGGTTCACAGTTTGGGTTTACGGTTAAGCACTGCAAGAGTTCAAGCCCATGGGACCAAATTTATACGGTAAAAGACAACAGTCTCCTGAAATTTTGTGAGATGAAGACCACAGATGTCTTGCAGAGAATTCTCACATATGCAGTTCATGATGTTATTCGTAAACTCCCCTCTTTGTATTTTACCATTCTAAAATGAAATCAGGGCATTTGAATCTGAACAATGCTCCTACTCAGAAAATATAAAAAGGATAAAGTTCAGATTAATTTTGAGTCCAGGATGAGTTAGAAGGAAGACCACAGTGAATAAAAATTGCTTACTAAAAACTAGGTTTTTAAAATATTACAAATGACTTCGCTGTGTCTTGCAACTAAATTTCTCTGACAAAGGGAACTGTCAAATAGCTTGAGCCCTCCAGGGTAAAGGGTGGTGAGGCCCGGATCCGCAGCGGGAGGCTACCCTTTGTGGGAAATGTTAAAAGGTATTCCAGCAGCACGAGATTCCTATGGCACCCATTGGCTTCCACCATTCCATGCAGGATGGTAGTGTTAGCCAGACTGCCTAAAGAAAGGGAGTACCTGGATGCTCCCAGGTATTACTTATTCAGTAGTGCCTTCTTCCTGACCTTGCCCCTTGCTGGAGACCACGTCCATGCCTTGTGGTGTCTGGCATGGCAGCAGCTATCACTGGGCAAGCAAAACTCACCAAGATGCAGATGTGTCTTCTGGAGCAATGGTACAGGTACCCATCCTGCCCTCCCCACGTTTGCTCATTCACTCCATCGATGAACTCCAGTAGCTCAGCTTCATGTCAGTCCTGCCCTCCAGCCTCGCAGTCGTCGTGCTTTGTCTCCAACTGCAGGAGCCAGCCAGCACTTCATGTGCACTTCACCCCTTCCATGGCCAACCACCACTGCTTCCGAACTTCTCTTCTCCTGCAAAGGACACGTGCTGTAGAAAAGGTCTGAAGACCTGTCTCATGCTTTTATAAGATGCAAAAAACCAGAGCATGATGGGGTCCTTTGCACTCATAGCTGTCCTATGAGAACAATGGGAAGTTGAGTAAAGGGTAAAAAGAGCAGGGCCAAAGAAATTGACCACTTAGATTGTTAAAGGAAAGCTTTACAGAAATATACTCGCTGAAGAGATCACATTTTACCTGTGCACTTACAAAGGATCTTCTAACAGAAAGATCTTACTGAGTAATTCTTACATATTTGGTGAAAACAATAAATTAGCAGCAGTTACCTAAAGCTGGTATGCAGAGTTACCTTTTTGACACGTTTGTCTTGGATGTCAGATACACTATTGCCTGCGGCAGGCTACCCTTCCTCCCTCTGCCAAGCTCCCCTCTGCCTTCAGAAGGGAGCGTTGCACATGAGATCCCCCAAGCACATCCCCACCAGACGACTGGTGACAGGGAAGAGGAGCGAAGGGCTTGTACTTTCTCCCACGTCACTGTCGTTGCTGCTTCAGTGTTCAGATTGCCTTCACAGAGCTAAAGCAAAACGCATCAGACAGTCGGAGCTGTGCAGAAATACAGGGGCTCCATTATCCTGGACGTCCGTCGGTGGGAATGCTGCGAGGGGCTGCACGCAGGAGCGGGTGGCCGAGCAGTCCGTGTGAGCGTGCCGAGGCCGCGCGGCTGCAGGGCCACGCTGCCCGTGCTGCCCCCCCAGCCCTGGCAGGGAGCTGCAGCTTTTGTCTCCTCCTGAGCACAGGAATTGTGAAGAACTCAGCCCTTGCAAGATCCGGGGGTTCAGGGTATGTTTTGTACTGTGCTTCTGTGTTACATTTCCCTGATCCACTGACGTTGCCGTCTGCTGCAGGAATGGTTCTTCACTTCCAACTCAGCAAGGCATTGTTCTGGGACTAGGTTTGACCACACGTATCTTGAGTGGCCTATCATTCCTTTTCAGAGCAATATAGTTTTTCAAACTGTAACTTAACAAAATAAAAAGAGAAGAAAAATCTGGTAGAAACAAAATGTCTTTATTTTGTGTAAAGAAATTGTAATTTTTTGAAGTAAAACTGAACACTGTTTGATTCATTTCATATCACATTTCTGTTGCTGAGGCCTTTACAGTATGTAGCTAATGTAGCTTCTCTATACCACTGTGGTGCAACATTTGTTTCGAATGGCACTGCATTAATGTCTTATCTACAAATAATGGTTTTCCATACTAAAGCATTTAATATATAGTTGGCCGTTGCCTTTTCTTCTAATATCCATTCAATTAAGTATAGATCTGATACAGGATTCAAAATCTGATATGCCAGGTCTTAGCAACATTTCATACAATGTTCACCAAAGGCTGTTTGGAACAAAAGTCTGTCTTTATTACACTCATGGTCTAGTTTAGTTTTGCCTGAGTGTAAGTGACATTCCACTAAAGCTAAGTATATTGCTGCATGTCATTGTGTAAATTAAATATATGAGATGGAACACAGCCAAGGAGACCTGGCAATTTCTGTTCTTTTTCACTGTTTACAGAAAGTGTGTTTATGTTGCACTCCCTGCTTCTGATATCAAAGATGTAGTAACAAGTCAATGCTTTATGTCAGGATCAGTAGCTCTTTCAAAAGTAGTGAGGATGTGACTTAGGCAGAAACAGGCATTTAAGGACTGAAGGGATAGAGACACAACTGCTCCTCGGAGGAGAACAGCAGTGTGGTGCCAGTGGCTGCTGCAAGTTGCCTACTGTGCTGGGATGTTCTCATTAGATCAGAAGTGAAAAAAGTAAAAATTTGCAAGTGGAAATAAAGACATCCAACATGCTCCACTGTAATGTGGTCCAGCACATACATAATGTTTGTTTTCTTTAACCATCGATTTCTGAAAATGGTAATTGTTAAGAAACAGAAATCATAGTTGTCACCTGGAGCTACATGGTCTCAACAACATGACAGATCTTAGCTCTTCTAAAGTTGAGTTAAAAGAATAGTTCACTTGGAAGGGACCTACAACAATCATCTAGTAGAAATTAATTTACTTTAAAAGTTGCCACGAGCACAAAGGTTTTTCTTGACGAAGAGGGAATGCAGAGAGAGGATATGAATGGCTCTTGAAAGGGCTTGTTTTATGAAATAGTGCTTGGGAGTCTGGATGGCTTGTTTGAGCTGCTGGAGATTTTAGTGGCCCAGATAAGGTTCTCATTAAGGACAGACGTAAGTGCAAAAGCCTCTGTCTTTCTCTGCTTTTTCAGAAAAAAAACCAAACCAACCAAAACAGTGCTCAGACTTCTTCCTCCCTGAACTTCCAGTGGTTGAAACTGAGTGAGCAGTGTGCTATATATTATTTATTTGTCCATTAGCATATTGAAGCCATGTGCCACTTAATGATTTTGTCCAGCTGACTAAGGAGCTGTCATCAGCATAACACTCTCCTATCCTACACTGCATTACATGCCAGCATAGCAACACGGGGCTCCCCGATGTCATCTTCAGGAGTAAGCAGGCTGTGGATTGGGAAGAGGAATGCAGTGGAGGAAGGGACTCACCTTATGGCTAGGTGTTTGACTGCAACTGCAGAGCCAAGAAACTCTTACAGGCACGCAGAAGCCTGGAACCTCAAAAGCCGGTGTCCACAGGACCATAATGTCCCCACTGACATTTTCTGTATGACGTGACGGTAATAAGGAAATATGCTGTAGCATTGCGTTAATGATCCTATCTCCCACGCTACATGGGACAGATTTTGTTTTCTGAAGGTGCCAACTGAGCAAAAGGTGAGCAATTTTGGTGTTCATCTCCGGTTTTCCTCTTAGAAATGGAGCTACGTACTGCCATGGCGGACATCTCACTGCCTCTTTTGTCCTGGGTTAGCATTGCTCTCTCTGAAGTCGGGTTCATATTGGACTCTGCAGTTTCTGTGGTACTGCAGCTAAACATCTGAATCAGACACTTCCTGAACTAGAAAGTTGAAAAAAAGATCAATCAAAACACAGAAGGAATTTTAAAATATCTCTATAAAGCAGTCTGTGTCTTAGCTAAAACTCTTGGAAGTTCTCTCATGAGTCAGTCATGAACATAAAGAAATAACTCCATAAAATATATTTGCATGTGCCACCATGAACAACTCCAAAACTGAGAAATAATGATGTCCTAAAAAGACCCAGACTACTGGAAAATCTTACTCTAAAATACGATTTTCCTCTTCTGCTTGTTACTAACCACATCTAATGGTCAGAATTGGTCATTTCTCCTGGGTCATGAGTTGCTTTCATATGCTAATACCCAGCTGTTCAAAGATGGTTTGTTTCCATGTTGTTCACAGCCATGAGCAGGGTAAGACCAGCATACATCTGCCAGGCATTGGGAGATCAGGGTACTGTTCATAGGATGTAAGACAAGCAACAGCTCTTTTTGCAAGACTGAATAAATAAATCACTTCTTATTCACTTTACTATTTTTCTTCTTTTCACTTATATGTTTATATTCTGCTTGATGCCACCACTCTTAGTAGCTGCATCTATTGCATAAATCTATTCAAGTTTATTGTCATACCTGTCATCACAGTGAACATGTCACTCTAGTTCATCCCCTTGTCAATTCTTCTTCTCTGCATCCAATCCTCTGCCCCCATTCCAGAGAAGAAAGCTCCCTGTCCCACAGCTACATGCAACACTTCTGCCCTCCCTGTACATACAACCACAAATGCAGCATTTCCCCTGGCACAAATTCAAGCTATTGAAAACTTCCACCTCACCTCAAAAGCAACTCACTGGTGCTGCATTCCTAAAGAATTATAAAAATGTACTGAGACAGTCTTGAAATAGAATTTTCATACAGAAAACTAACTGATGTTCACTAAGTGCTGATTCTCCTTTATAATATCTAAATCTAATAATTATTAATATTAATATTTTAATAATGCATAGAGGCTTACACTGTCTTCCAGTAGGTAGAGATACAGTGATTTTTTGTTTAGTTCTAAATGCCAGATATTGCAATGCTAGTTAACTAACATGTAGGCAGGTAGAAATAATTCATTATAAAGCAAGACAAAATAACAAAATATGAGTGTTAAAGACACTTTAAGAGCATACAGTACCTGTTTGTTCATAAACACATAAATAATGGGATTATAAACAGTAGCTGTTTTGGAAAAGAAAGCTGGAACTGCTGCCAGACGAGGATCCAGCTCCATGGAGGGGCACGCAGTGACTAGGATAGAAAAGGCGGCGTATGGCATCCAGCAGATGAGAAAGGCAATGATCATAACAACCACCATCCTCGTCACTTGTCTTTCAGGTTTCCTGATAGTTCCCAGATTGCCTTGTGTATCCGACACCTTTAAAGAGAAGGCAGAAGATTCCAGAAAACCAACGATAAGGCCTCCAACCAGTGGATGTAGTGAGCAGGCTAATGATCTGCCATGCTAGAAGAAAAGTCCTACTCTTCTTGAGTATGACAGCACATAAGGATGCTGTTGCTGGACCACAGGGTGTCAATGTTACTGCTGAGGGACATGAATTACTGTATACTCTCATTATTAAATTTTCCTTACCTTAAATATCTTTGTATTTTTTATTGTCAAAGTGAAAGCAAAAAGTAATTTCTAGGGCAATCTCTGTCTAGAAATCTAGCTGCAGTCAGGCACAACGGCAGCCTGTAGAGACACCCCCAAGCTAGCTTCAGCCAAGTCAGGAGGAACGAAGCGACGGCGCAGGTTTGCTGTCACGACAGTTAATCAAGCTCAGGTGACTTCATTGCCCCAAGGCAATGCAGAAATACTTTTAAATTCCATCTATGAGAAAAGTAATTCTAATGATTTTAGTCAGATGAGAGACAAGACTTGGCCACTATTTAGAATGCCAAATAACAGAATACAATGACCTTGGCAGAAGGAGTGACTGGCAGTATCTGATCACAATAAGTTACCTCTAAAAATATGAAACTGAAATTTTGGCTACATTTTTAGGTGGTACAACTTGCCATACATCACTAACTTCGACGGAGCTACCTCGGCTTACAGCAGCTCTGGATCTGCACAAAGACTGCGCTGATAAATCTGCACTTCTTGGCTTGCAGGAAAGCTGACTAGAGAACATTTTGTCTAAACTGGTAGGAGCAGTGTCCTTCTCTTTCGCTCTTCTGTTCTTTTTGTGAAATGCATTTGCTGCTGTCCTGACAAAACAGTTCATGTACAGCAAAGTATAATGAAAAGCACAATTCCATAACAAGGCAAATATGAGCAGAAAATATGCCTTGAACTGGCCTTGCAGCCAACCAACTTCAACCTTATCTACAGAACTGTCTTCTGCTATAGTTGGCCCAAGGGTGCCGTGAGCAGCAATGGGCTGGTGCTGCCGTTCACATTCAACTTGGGACACTTGTTGTGTCTAATACTGAAATCAACCTCTCCCAGCCTTTTAACCTTCTCTCCCCTAAATGAATCCTGGAGGAAATCAAGAAAAATCTGTTTAGAGGAATCACAATGTCACCTGAAGTACACATGTTCCAATTTGTATTTTCTAATGAGAAAACAAAATATTTTTTGAATTTCCCTTCTGTTTTGTTTTACTTAGAGAAAAACGACACTCAGAATAAACACAAGAATTTGACTATCCCAGATACTTTAAAAACATCAGTAAATTGAAAAAAAGACAAGGCAGCTTTGCAGTAAGTAGATATAACAATATTGTCCCAAAACATTGTCTCAAAATCCTGTTCCAGTTAGGAATTTTCCTACTCTGTTATCTTCTTCTTTTTCACTTTTTGCAGATTCTCTTTTGGATCAAGTCAACATAATCATTAAATAAAATTCAAAAGCATTTATCGTAATCTAATATTTTATTTACTAATCAGCATTACATTATTTACAAATGCTACATCTTATTCTGCATGTGTTATAGAGTATCAGCCAGCTCTCTTGACATTTACAAATGCAGTCATTTTAAGCTAAATTCTGATTTATCTGGTTTGAGTCTTAAGATACATCACTGAAGTGAAGTAAAATTGTAAATAAACCAATACTGTGTCATTCAGTTTCTTTATGTATGAGGCAGATGTTCTTTCATTTCTATGATGCTTGGCTAATGAGAGGTACTGACTAGTAATGCAAACTGCACACTTTGAAAAATCATTTCTAACCATAGCATGAATTTCTGTGCATAAGGACAATTACAGAACAAGGGATAATAACAGAGAGCGTTTGCTGCCTAGAAATTTGATCTGCTTATGTCTGATGTTGATATACAATCAAACACAAAAATTCCAAATGTTTGCATACATACACATTTAACACGTTTACTTTTAAGTGTTGCTTCTTACCTTTCTCAGCTTCCGCATCAGTTTTCCATAGGATACCAAAATCACCAACAGAGGCACTACAAAACAGGTGGCGAAGAATGCCATAATGTACGTGTGGTCGGTATAAGCTCCTGAGTACCTGTAAAAACCACAAAATACATTGCGTATGTATTACTAATATGTGTTCTTATTATTTTCTTCAAGTATTAATTTTGCTCTTCAAAGTTGTCACTAGTATTTTCGTCAGCTGTTTTTATTCAAAAAGTGCTCCTTTACAAGTCTGGTCATATCACCAGATGGAGCCCTGGGCCATCTCCTTGGCCGCGAGCTGGGACAGGATCCTATAACCACAGGCAGAGGATCATAGAACTGTGGGACAGTTCAGGTGGGAAGGGACATGTAGCCCAACCTCCTGCTCAAAGTGGAGTCAGCTATGGGGTCAGACCAGGTTGCTCAGGGCTTTGTCCAGTCTTCTGAAAAATCTGTCTCCTTGTCCTCTTTGAATCCTCACAAAAAGCACAAGGTATAGCATGGTTATTTGCATTAGAGATGGAAGACACGTCCTTTAGGGATTTAAAATGTTTTGTTGGTTTTTTTTAAATCTGTTCTCGGCAAATTTTTCTGTTTTGTTACAACGAAGACACGTCCTTTAGGGATTTAAAATGTTTCGTTGTTTTTTTTTTAAATCTGTTCTTGGCAAATTTTTCTGTTTTGTTACAATTTTCTTTTTCATTTTTGCAGAGATGTACATAATCTTTAAACCTTTCCTTCAAATTCTTGCCCCTGAGATGTCCTAAGCTGCAAGTTTCATTTCTTTACCATACTGTGCAAGAGTGGCCTTACCAGTTAGGCTCACATGTAGTTCCAATCTTACTGGTGGTGTAACTGCTCCAACCCATTGTTGGTGGAATGGTCCAAATGAAGGAAAAGGTCCACACAAAGGCAATACCTAGGGCTGCATGCTTCCCCCTCAAGCGCATATTTCCCAATGGGCGGCAGATCACAACGTACCGCTCAAAAGCCAACAGAGCAAGAGACCAGAGAGCAACAATGCCTATGGTAAGAAAACACAGTCATCATCAAAAAGTGGGTAGATTCACTGAAAAGCAAACACTATCTCACATCACGGAATCACAGGATTGTTTAGGTTGAAAGGCATCTCTGAAGGTCATCTAGTTCAACATCCCCTCCACTCAAGCACAGTCCACAGGGCAGGTTGTCCAGGACCAAGTCCAGTTGGATTTGGAGTATCTCCACAAATGGAGACTCCACTATCTCACTGGGCAACCTGTTCCAGTGTTTGACCACCCACCACATCAGGTACCTTTTCCACCAGCCCGAGTTGTGAAAGGATGTGCAATTTATGTCCATTAGTCTAATATTTATTAAGAGCACAAGATTTTCATATTAGTCTAGTTTGTCAGTCTACAGCATGACCACAAAACCAAGCAACTCATCAGGCCATTTAACTGATGACAACTTTTTTTTTTCATTTGATTCTACTCTGAAAAGCTGCAAATTATGTGTAGCTTCCAAATCAACAAATTGAGATATATCTTCAAAACACTATCTTTGCAAGAAATGTCACATTTTGGACTGTCACAAAACTCCAATCTACAGACAGCAGCTCACAACATCAAATTATCAGTTTATTAGGCACATATCACCTGGTTGGCCACCGAAATCTTGAAATAGACTGATCTTTCTCCATGGGACATGGCTTACATGCCACAAACTGATGCAGTAGCATTGTCCCTCACCAACATTCCCTCTGTGTAGCTTGAACATGCTGAGAGCAACTGTGAGACTCCTTTTCAGGCTGAGGATCAGCAATGTGTTTGGTTTAGAGCAGTGACAGAGTTCGAAGGCTGTCTTTACTAAGCAGATTCAGAAACAGGAACAGAGAGGCAGAACGAACGTCTATCTCAAGTGAGTAGATGGCCCATTTTAAACTAATCATTTATTCTGCAGAGGTGTGTTTACACAGGGAACCATGTGCTGTGGATTTCCCCTTTTACAGTACTTCTAATACTTCTCGTGTAGTTAGTAATACGAAACCAAGAAAAAGAATCACAAAAAGTCATAGGGGTGACTGTTACAGATGTGTCATGGTTCCTCAGAACTACTGGAGGGGAGCTAACACAAAATATTTCTGTGCCCAGATATCTTCTACAGTTTAAGAGCAGCCACTCACTCTTTTTCTCTCTATTTATCCATATACGCAGACACCTAAATATAAACCTTGAAAACAGTTACACATAGTGAATTTTTTTTCTGACATTGTTTCAACACCCCCCCCCCCAGCAATGCTGTTATTCTATTAGCAAGCTTTTCCTCATTACATATCCAGTACATCCAATGATCAGTATAAATGCAACAAGCCGCTGATATATGACCGTGGTACATGTTACTGACTCACACATAAGATCCACTACAGAACACACGTAACTGAGGAAAGAAGCTGTGAGTTCAAAGGCATGCAAAGTCAGGGACTTGGGAAGCTGCAGGGTAGCTGGTGGAATACACTGAAGGAAGTTGAAGGAAAAAAAAGGACATACACCTGCAAACAAAATGAAGCTTACCAAAAAATGTAACAGCAAATCCTTCCAGTACACAAGCCCAGTATCCCATATAAAAATAACCTTTCAGATTTGTTAAAAAGCTGATGATGCCACCAGTGAGTGAGACCAGGAAATCAGCCACAGACAAATTGACTATAACATAATTGACAGGTTGTCTCAACTGCTTGAACTTCAAAGTCACCAAGATTACAGCCAGGTTCTCAGCAAGTGACAGGGAGGTCACCACCAACATTACTGCTGCCAGAAGCCTGAAGTGCCAGGGCTGGATGGAGTCCAAGGGATGACGGAAGGGATCCCATCTGGCAGGACCAGAGGAACTGGACAACAGCGACTCATTTTCAGCTGCTCTGAATGCATCCATTTTTTCTCTCTCGCTAGCAAAAAAATATTGTATAATATTGGCGTTTCTAATCTGTAAATAACATTCAGGATTAAAAGGAGAAATTTGCTGTCTCCAACAGAAATGTGAACAAACGCTCCATCCTTCTGCTTTCCAGTAGTAGTCCAGGAAACAAAGTTTTGGTCAGAGGAAAGTTCAGTGCTGCGCAGTGAATGTGGGAACAGGGATGAGCAAAATAATCTCTTGGAGCAACTTCTGCCCCTCTCTGCCAGCAGTCTCCCGCCTCTCCTGCTGCAGCGGTCTTGATCTGTAGCGAAACCCAGCTACAGGAGCTGCAGGTTCCCTCCTTCCACGGCAGCCAACAGCAGCGCTGAAATATCCCCCAGATCATCCCTACTCGGATGGGGGGGGGGGGGGGCGAATGAAGCGTTGGCTTCGGCCCCTCCCTGACCCTTAGCACAGTGAAAATGAAGCTTTTCTCCTGCTAAGAGCGAGGGTGGAGTGACCTTCCTCCTGCCCTGCACTGCTGGGAGCGCCCTGAGGGGTGCTCAGCCCACCTGGCTTCTTTTCTTGAAAGAAACTGCACTATAAACCCCTGCCCACACCTCAGGCTAGTTTATGGCTTCAGAACTGAAGCTCTAAATTAACTAAGTTTTCTGTGTTATTCAGTGGAATTTTGGTTTCTATCAGAGACAGTATAGATGTTATCCCTGATGACCGCATAATGGTTGTAACTGTGGCTTCAGCACTAAAAACTCAAAAGATGCACAAAAATATTTAAAGATAGCATTTGTAAATACATGAAAAGAAATAAAATCAGTGCAGCATGACAACAGACAGCAGGAAAATTAATAGCTAGTCACATATTTCTGATAAAAATGATTGGATGTATCTGAACTCTTTAATAATCGTTAGCAGTTAGGGTTACTTGTGGTTGTTTCCCAAGATGAGCGGCTCAGTTATCTCTGCACCTTAATGAAAAAATGCTGTGACAGATATGTCAGTACTCCCGTTCTAAAGAGCTCCCAGTAATTATTCCACAAATTAAGCTGGATACCTGTCCTGGCTTCCAAGAATATGGAAATCATTCAGCTATGTTGTAAGTGAGATAATTGTTATAGACCGCGATTGTTAATTAGAGCCTCAGAGAATTAACCAGAGTCAAAAATACAAAAGCAATCCAGTTCTTGTCTTAGAAAGTTCACACTTTGGACACACACCATATACAAAACACTAATAAACAAACAGGAGCTGGAGTGAGAGTGAAAACGAGTAACTACCTGTCCATACTTTCCCTTGGTTTGTATTTGCTTTGGTTTGTACATGAAACACCTTGTTAACAAAGGTTAAAATCTTTTGGTATGCAGGAATGGAATCAAAAGGGTTTCTGGACACTGGCAGAAAGAGTTATGCATCAGAAAAATTCTGAATATTTTGAACTAAAAAAATAGTAAATCTTACTTACCACAACCAATATAACAAAGACATTTTTAAATGGTTAGTATATACTCAACTGAAAAGGAAAGAGACCATGCTTAACCAGATCAAATCTAGTAACAAAAAATACTCACACAATAATACCTATTCAACAAGAATATTAAAAAAATTCCAAGTATCATAAATAAGAGAAGGATCAACACACTACAACATTCAAATGCCTCTAGACAGCCCTTGTATAGCACGATCCAGCATAGTTCCACTGCCTGCCTACTACCGCAGAAGATCTGGACCACAACTTTAAAATCAAGCTTGAATATTACGTTGTTTAAAATCATACATGATTTTAAATTCTTGTGGGTGTCAGAACAAAACTAGAACTCTGAATTTAGCATACAAAAAAGTAATATCTGGACTTCTCTAAAGTACAAATCTACTGACTGTACATTGACATCCCTTCAACAAATGGATAACTATTGTTTCCAGTGATTTTGTTGTTGTTTCATACTGTCATATTGTTCAAGTTGTTTGTATGAGGCGTGATTTGGTTACAATTTAAATGCATTCTCTTGTGCTTCCTCTTATACTGTCTTGGTTGTCTGTTTTACTTGTCTTGTTTCTCTTCTTCAGCAGGTTAACTTCATCACTGGAAGTGATTCTCTGCAACGTGCTCTCTTACTACAACTTAGAGCAGCCGCACTTCTTCCAGCATCAAGGGTCTGCATTTGCTGCTTTGCTCTACATTTGCTACCCCTCTTGCACTGCAGGCTTTTTTCTTTTTTTTTTTCCCCAAATAATATAGATATGGATTTTTTTTTTCAATGTTGTTGTGAGACTTTTTTCTGAAATCAATATCTGATAAATTCAGAAAGACAAAGCATTGCTTTATGAACATAGGGAGAACAGGAGCATCTAAGATGTGTAGCCCCCATTTAAAGAACTGTTCTCCAGCATTACATCACAAGATCTTTATCTCCTTTTATTAAGGTCTCATTTTCCATTAGTGCCAAATCCCTTTTCCTGGACTTCCGTGTACTGAAAGTTTATTGATAAACTTGGAGCACATGCAAACCGAGGAGTCCATGTGCACCATACCTCACACATCTGGCCTACTGCAGTCTCCATTTTCTCGGCCAGAGTTGAAGCACGATTTGCTCCTTAGCAAAGCTGTTCCTGACTCACACGCCTTTTGAAGAGGTAAGGTGGCAGACAATAAAAAAGCCTCAGGTTATGGTTAAACTGCTGCTAGTTGGAGCAGAGAACACACGGTCAGTGAGGTGAAGAGAATGTGTAACTAACAGCACTTGTGTAACATGCCCACAGTAATTCCAGCTGTTAGACAAAATTGGGATGACAAGAACTGTGCTAACCGAGATCAAATCTGGTGCCTGAAATTGTATGTGGCAGTTAGAGAACTAGCCCCAATTTACCATTCCCACAAGACACAAACAGGGAAATGAGCTATAAAATCAGTGTGATATTTAAGTGGTGCACTTGAACTGGCATACAACAGTCAGTCCCAAGATGCTGCCACCCAGTGACAACAGTGTCCTTCTCTCCTCAAAGCAATTGTGAAAGTTTGCTTTGTCACCAAGAAAGATTTGGTTTAGTCACATTTAATCAGAGCAAACAGCATTTTCTGCTGTACAGACGTTTTGTGAGAATCTGAAGTGAAGGATCCCACTTTTGGTACAACCAAACTGGCTGCTGTGTCATGCACAAGTGCCATCTCAGGGGTGGACCTGGCCACTCCATTAGCTTCTATTTTGAAAAAAACAAAACAAGAAAATCCAACCAGGGAATCAGGCGCTCATCATTTCTGTGACCAAATGGTGCTGACCCAATGCACCCACACAGACTGCTTCCAGCACACATGGATACTCCATCCCTTCAGAACATCCAGCCTCTGGGCCAGCAACTGAGCTGAAGCTGGTATTTCTCCCTTGCCAGATACCACTACGGATTGTGTTAAACCACTCTGAAATGAGGGTGTCTGGCCTGAGTGTCCCTGCAGGGAAGCTGTGGTTGCAAATGTCTGCACAAGCTTGGAGGTGGCAGCACAAGAGAGCTGCCCTCAGCTCCCGGCAACGGGAAACCCCAGCTGCCCTCCCAGAGAACCCGCCTCTGCAGGGCCCAACGGGACCACTGGCTGCACTGGTTTGGGCTGGCTGCTACAGCAGAAAGGCAGTAAGAGCTGGTGAAAGCTGCAGGGAAGAGCACAGCTGGGTGTGGAGGATGTGGCTGTGGGAGAAGCAGGACAGTGAGTGCTCCTCGGGCTGGGCAGGCAGCGAGAGGCTTCGGGCAGGCAGAAGGGAGGAAGGGTCAATAAGAAGCTTGAGGGGAAATCATCAACTTCAAAGCAGAGCAAAGCTTCAAACATATCAGGCAGAAATCAGTCTTACCAATTCTGGGTTGTGTTTGGGTTTTTTAAATAAAATATTAAAAAAACAGCAGCAAGAGAGGTCTATGAATGACCTTGGAATTAAGTGTATTTATATTCGTCTAAAAGGAATATAAAAGCATATTTCACTACAGTATTTTTAAAAACACATATAGTAAGGCCACATTTTTTTCTGCCTTCAGTAAGGGAGACACAGAAGAGCACTTAGTTCCAATTAGAAATTAAGCAGAAATTATGGCGATTTATGCATAGAGACTGTTAGAGATTACATTACCAATCTAGAAACTACAACTCTCAAATCACTTCAGCAAACATGCTCTTTCTGAGTCCAATTAACCACAGAAACACGAAAGGGCTGAGGCTGGCAGGGGCCTCTGGAGAGCTCCAGTCCAGCCCCTTGCCCAAAGCAGGGACAGCCACTTTTTGGGGTTGTGTCCAGTCAGGTCTTTAATGTCTCCATGGGTGGACCCTTCACAACCCCTCAGGGCAACCTGCTCCTGTGTTTGACAACCCTTACTGTAAAGACTTTTCTTATTTTTAATTATTATTTTTTTAATCTAAGAATGAAAAATTAAATACAGCTTCACATTAATTATCAGTGTTACACATACAGTTTATTATAGGGCTCCATCTAACCTTTTCATGCCTGGAGAGGTTCAAGGAAAGCACTTCCGAAACCTCATAGCAGACTTGAGAACCCTGCTGCAGGGCTCATCTCATTTACTTGCTCTTGGTACAGGCCCACATGCTCTTAGAATCTGTTGAAACGTGAGTGCAGGAAAAAGGTTTTCCATTCAAGGAAACTTCTGGAAATTTAAACAAATATTCTCCTCCTGCTGCCTGTCTAAACCATAACCATTCAGAGTGAACATCAGCAGTGGGAGTAGAGGAGGGAATCTTTACTCCTGTGCAGTACTGCACTATAAAGACAGTGTAAAGCACCTTCATATAACCCATTCAGAAGCTTCTATGGGAGGATACTTTGTCTAAAAAAAAACACCTGAACATCCAAGAGCAAATGCAAAAAATCATCAGTAAAGTGGGCTTTTCCAGTTGATCAGGCTGTGTCACAGAAGCATTTGTTTCTAGGTGGTCAGTTTGCGAGTGTGCCTGTACAGAGAGCACTCCAGATGTTGGCACCTGTTTTTTTTAAACTGATTTCCTCCATCCATTTCTTTTTTTT